TAACTGGGATCGTCATGTAATCTCAAACTTAAATTGTTTGTTTGGGTAAATAAGGAAAAGGCATATTCAGTACATTTCTGCAGTACATTCACATTTCCCCACATTTTATTCCCTTCAAAATGCTGCATGTACAGAGTATACCTGTCAAACTGGCACAAATCCAGTATAGTCCTTTCTATTTGGACTGGCAAATAGTGCATTTGCTGCACTGAAATCCTGTTAATGGTCAGCCCTTCCTGCTGGACTAGAGAACTCGCCTTTCCCCTACTCGCTCTCCCAATCCACAGGCACCCAATGATTTGTTTTTCAGAAAAAAAAAAAACTGCTCACCTGACCTTCCAACAGCACACTGTGGGGGGGTTATTCACTAAAACGGGAGAGTGCAAAATCTGGTGCAACTGGTGCATATTATCCAATCATCTTCTGAGTTTTATTGTCAAAGCTTAATTGAATAAGCTGAAGTTAGAAGCTGATTGGCTACCATGTACAGCTGCACCAGATTCTGAGTGTACCAGTTTTAGTAAATCTACCCCTATGTGATGAACGTACTCTTGGGGTGTAGTTCTGAGGATGTGCTTATGTCAATAGGCACTGAGTTCCCAGCAGCTGTCCTTAAAGTAATTCATAAAATCTCTTCTGAAATAATAACAAATATCGTGATAACAATGATGAATTCGTGCTCACATAAATATAAAATATACAAAAACCATTAATAAATAAATAGTGCCAATTCTCACTCCTATTGGGCTAACTAGTGGCTAAAAAAAACAAGTGAAATATTTGATAAAGTGATAACACTTGTTCTGTGCAAAGTGACAGGTGTATCAAATAAATAAATAAATTGAAACAGTCCAAATTATATGTGATACCAAACTGTGCAAATAATAAGTGTTCAATACACAGTGATTCACAACTTCATTCCATGCTGCAAATGTGCTCCTAGTGACACTCTGATGTGACTCCCCTGGATTTAGCCAAAATGCCTCCTCACCTTCCAAATTCGACCCTTACGGGTCATAAAGCCTTAAGTATAAAGAATCTCAGCCTGGTTTTATTAATCCACTGACTCCACCGACTTAATTAAGGTCCCCTCCGAGCAATGGATTCCTCTCAGACCACTCTCCTCACCATATGGACTCATATATACAGGGCATATATGTAGAGAGAAAGACAGACCTCCATAGTGCAACACTGTTTTAATGCACTTAAAAGCTCCAAAAAAATTGAACACTCACATGTTTTCCAGTGGACAGACACAGTTTCCCATGTGATATGGGTGTACTAAGGAATAGGTGTTTTAAAATGGCGCCTGAACCCGGAACCAGAAGTACGTCACCGCTCAACCGGAAATGCATCAACGCGTTACGCCACGGTCACATGGCTTCTTCAGGTCCTCATCATTGTTATCATGATATTTGTTATTATTTCAGAAGAGATTTTATGAATTAATTGGTTTTTTATACACTATATAAGCTGAGAGCTTCATCACAATATATTTTTTGTTATTTGCATATATCCTATGGTATAGGGAAATAGGTGATAGCAGCTGGCTTTGACTAAAGATTCTGTGGAGCGCAGGGGGACCTCTGTATATTTGTCCTTAAAGTAAGCTAACAAGTCTGGTGACGATGTTGACTCTCAAAATGGCTCCTTTTAAATGGTCTAGAGTTGTGCCCCTAGACTCTGCCCTGGGATCATTTATGATTAGCTTGTTTATAAATGACACAGAAGATGGAATGAACAATTCAATCTCATCATTTGTAGATGATATCAAGCTATTCAATAATTTCACCACAGAGAATAGCAATTTTACAACAAAACCTCGATAAAATAGGGTGGTGGACTGCTACATGGCATACGAGGTGTATTATTAAAAAATGTAAAGTTATGCACTCGGGTGCTGAAAATATGTATGCAATATACTCATTAGAGAGAGATCTTCTGGGGGAATTGAGTATAGAAAAAGACCTGGAGGTCCTTGTAGACCACAGATTCACCAATATTATGTAATGCCAAGGCTAGCAGACAGCTATTATGCATTAAAAAGGGTATTTGCTCAAGAGGCAATTCTACCACTTTACAAAATGCTGATTCTGGCCCATTTTGTGTATGCAGTTGGGGTTTGGCCACAATCATCAGCAAGGATGGCTTTGAATTGGACAGATTTCAGTGAAAGGCAACAAAATTAATAAATGGGCTGAAGGACCTCTGTTATGAAAAACAACAACAAAAATTAAACCTATTCTCCCTGGAGAAGAGGTGCTTAAGTGGAGATTTGATCACAAAATACAGATCTATCAATGGAGACTATCAGGAAAAACTGTTTAATCCCAGGTCTCTAAGGACACACTCTGCCAAACAATGAAGTTAGTTGAAAAGCAGTTCAGTCTTAAACTGCGTAAGGGGTACTGTACTGTTAGAACTCTTTCACACGAGCGGTTGTTCTGGCGCTTGTAAATGCATGTTTTTTTATTTTGAAATTCCAACACTCCTGGCACAGAGATCACTTGTGTTTGTACATTGTGTTTATATGTGATTATGTGCGTTTACATGCAGCTGCATTTAGCTGCGGTAGTAAATGATTGTCTTTTCTATAGCAACTGTTTCCTTATTTTTTCTTTGTACTGCGATTAACTGCGTTTATGTACAGATAGGTGCGGTACATCGCTCTTGGACGCTGTCAACTTTATTTTTCTAAACGCATAAAACTGTATGTTATGAAAACGTTGCTAAATGCAGTGTGTGAAGGAGCCATAGGGATGCATTGTCTTGCATTTAGCTGCAGTAAATATGTTCCTCTAACAGCGGCTAAAAGCTGAAATCTAACAGGCCCGTGTGAAAGGGGCCTTAGAGTGGTAAAGATCTATAAGATAAACCTATAGCTCAAAGGTTGTCTCCTTGCTTTCCTACATTTGAACAATGGCAAAAGTCTGGAGAGAGAGAGAGAGGGAGAGGGGAGAGGGAGAGAGAGAGAGAGAGAGAGATTGATTGACATACCAGCACAAGGGCTGCCCCCCAGAATTCTGGAAAGTATGGTTTCCTTGGTTATTGTCTACTTTAGCAGATTATGTATGTATTGATGTATTGTGATATTGTTTGGATCTGAAAGATATACCGTATTTTTCGCCATATAAGACGCACCTGCCCATGAGACGCACCTAGGTTTTAGAGGCAGAAAACAGGGGAAAAAAAAATTCTGAACTAATGGACTGCAGACACAGTACAGGAGATGACCAGAGACTGCGGACAGCACAGGGATGACCAGAGACTGCGGACAGCACAGGGATGACCAGAGACTGCGGACAGCACAGGGATGACCAGAGACTGCGGACAGCACAGATGACTGCTGACCTTTGGGGAGGTGGGGAGCGGGTACCTGAATTTGACAGGTACCCGATCTTACCTGTTCCTCGATCCAGCCGCGCGCTGTCTTCCCGGCTTCTGTAATGGCGCTCGGCATGACAGCCGGGTGCCCAGTGCGCATGAGCGAGAAGCACTTGCGCTTTGTGATTGGTCCGGCGGCTTCTGGGATCTGTCATGTGTCCCAGGTACCCGCCTTACCATTCACAAAGCGCACCGCTTCTCGCGCATGCGCACTTGGCACCCGGCTGTCATGCCCAGTGCCCACACTACAGAAGCCAGGACACAGCACACCGCTGGATAGAGGAACAGGTAAGGTCCCGCTGCAGAGCTGAGCGTCCGGCCCGGTATTCTGACACGGCCGCGGTGGAAATACCGGACCGGCCGCTCCATATTCGCCTTATAAGACGCACTGACATTTCCCCCCCAGTTTTGGGGAAGAAAAAGTACGTCTTATACGGCGAAAAATACGGTACTCTCAGGGATAGCTTTGATTTTGTTCATAAATGTTGTGTTATTACGGTGTAATGTATGCATCTACTCGTAACTGTTCTTTTATGAGACATAACAAATATGTTGTTGCTGCTTTAATTGTTTTAATTGTTTTGTGTTGATGTTTATCCATTGTTTTGAATCCTATTTTGATTTCCATTTCTTTTTAGTTTTGTATGTTTTGTTAAATATTTAATAAAAATTACTTGAGTACAAAAATAGTGGTAACGATGGGGCACTTACTTCTACAGAGAGTGATATCAGGGGGAAAGTAGATAACTTCAGCAAACTATTGGATATCATTCTCAGCTAACACAATATACTTAGGTACAGGAATTCACAGTTGCACACACATATAGAACATGATCTAATATATAGGTGAGCGCTGGCGATATCTGGGGAGCAGCTAGCACACAAGGTGAAGGTATATGTAAAAAAAATATATATATACATTGCGGAATGGTAAAGTGCAACACATAAAAGTGCAAAAAAAAATTAGTAAATGAGAAAACTAAAAATCAAATAATATGGTAAAGTGCATCATGAATGTAATGAGCTGAGTGAAACAGTAAAGTACATCAAATAAAAGCATGAAAATGTCAGCTAAACAGCTCAAAAAGAAAATGCCAAACAATAAAGTATATCACGGGCAGAATCTAAATACAATAATGTCCGTGGTGATCCGTGAAGTAAAGTGCAGTAGTAAATGATGTTACATAAACATATAAAATCTGAGATATATAAATAGGATAAAACTCTACATCAATGTCCGTGGTTAAACATGCTATTTATATAGTCAAATATCCATAAATTGTCTGTAAAACCATAAGGCGCAGTATAATTAAGGTGCAGAGTGCGTTTTCCTATAGAAATAGGCTTACCCCTGAGGACGTGCATATGCACGAAACATGTTGGGTGGAGCCGCCCTTTTCTGACGTCATGCCGCCGCTGCCGATGGTCGGAGCGGTGGCCATCTTGGTACACTTTTTATGCTTTTTGATTTCTGTCTCCATGTGGAGACTTTTTAATATTCTATTAAATACTACACTATATGCAACCTTATTGGCTCCTGTGGGGAGCTATTCCCTCTAGGACAAGGGCTGACTTCTCATCCCGAGTGCCCAGGATGAATTTGGTCCAGTTTAACCCTTTGGCTGCCTCCCATTCTCAGATATTTAATGCTTGGTTGCCTTTTACCAGTTTTCATCTGGTGAGTGTACATCCGAGAGAGGTGGTGGATTCTTTTGTGTGATCATCACAGGGGTGGACTGACCATTCGAGCACTCGGGCAGTGCCCGAGGGCCCCGGGGTCAGTAGGGGGCCCCATGAAATGCCCCTGGTACCTTTTATAGGCTTTTTTTGAGTGTGGGCAAGGACATAGGGGCCCCATGATCCACTATTGCCCAGGGGCGCCATGATTTGTCAGTCCGCCCCTGGATCATCAGCACATTTGCACTCTGCACCTTAATTATACTGCACCTTATGGTTTCACAGACAATTGCTTCCATTTATGGATATTTGACTATATAAATAGCACGTTTAACCACGGACATTGATGTAGAGTTTTATCCTATTTATATATCTCAGATTTTATATGTTTATTGTAACATCAGTTACTACTGCACTTTACTTCACGGATCACCACGGGCATTACTGTATTTAGATTCTGCCCGTGATACACTTTATTGTTTGGCATTTGCTTTTTGAGCTGTTTAGCTGATATTTTCATGCTTTTACTTGATGTACTTTACTGCTTCACTCAGCTCATTACATTCATAATGCACTTTACCATATTGTTTGATTTTTAGATTTCGCATTTACTAATTTTTACGAATTGTTGCACTTTACCATTCCGCAATATATAATTTTTTTATGTTATTTTTGTTAGCGCTGCACTTTCTTACATTCACACACATATAGGTTGAACTGGACTGACTTGTCTTTATTCGCCCTTATCAACTATGGAACTATGTTCCAGGAGGTAATGAAAGCTGTTTTTTTGCAAAGGGAACAAGTTAAATGAAAATTATAGTGCTGGGATATGCTCTATAGGAGGTTATGGAGGTTTAGAGTTAAATTCAGATAGTGTTCAGCCATAACCTTTAGAGGAAAATTAATGTCTTTTTAGGAAAGCTTCAGAAAAGCTCAGTACAGTGGGTTTTTTTTTTGCTGAAGTAAAATGAAGCTCATTTTTTACAATGTGCCTTTGCACACAGGCACGTAAACAAGTGTATTCCTGAGTAAAAAAAAAAGAAAAGGAAAATCTGCATTTTTGGTCAGTATGAGCATAAATTTGATGAATTTTTCCTAAGAATATATTGTGCATTCAAATATGAATATGTTTTTAATGTCTGCAATTACATTAAAAAAAGCAGATGCTCAAACATCAGTTTCGCGTGCAAGAGGTCTCACGATAATGTTTAGTACTTTCTGTGGTATGTTACAGTGCCACTTAGTACCTCAGTGCAATATTGCACATTTATGCACACCTACCCTGTAGCTCACCATAACACACATGCCATACATTCTGTTCTGTTACTTTTTAAAAAAAGGTAAAGGTGCTGTTTGTCTAAGGTTGCAGGTGCCTTGACAGGCCATTCCAAATGAATGGGCTGTTTTAATGCAAAGAATATTAATAAACTAAAATACACAGTAACAGGTTGCAAACGTCTTTTTTTTTTAAATTGCATACATATATAGTTTTACCTCCTGCGTATTTGTGTGCCTTGCTGTTCCTCACTGTCAAAGCAAGTCTACCAGACATGTGTGTCTAGCCAAAATAGTACACTTTTTATAGACCCAATGAAGGAAAGCATGCTAAGTCTTAGCCAAAGCAACCTGGACTCAGTTGGAGCCAAGATTTTTATTTACACATTTGAACATTACACAAGGTGGCTGACCCCTTCTGGTATGGATTGCCATTAGAAGGAGAATAAAAAAATCTTCTGAACCTTCAATGGAGGGGTGAAAACTGCTGATAAAGTGGTATTGTAGGAAAAAAAATGTAATCACACTTTTTTAGACTCGATTTTTTATTAGTTATGACCTTTATTATATTTGTATTTATATTTATATTTTATATTATGGTTGTGTTTTAGCTTTAGTGGCCTTTTAAAGACCTCCCTGAAATCTTTATTAGACAGTATAGGCACTAGTAGGCAAGTGATGAAAGTGTACTGTTTAGTAAGTGGTAAATTGTCAATGACAGCAGAGAAAAGAAAAAAAACACACCTATACATAAATGGAAAATGGATGAGTCTAGTTCTAATGAAATGTCTGTATCTGTGGTACTTTTCTTATGCCATTACCTTTTGTACTGAACTTACATTATAGCGAAACATGTAGATACTCACTTAAAGGTTCCCTGGCCTTGACAATGCCGACAGTGCTACCTTGTGGAGCATCTTCTGCAATTACAAACACGTAGCGTGATTTCTCAAATACGGCCGGTGCCACAGCAGTCTTCAGAATTTTGACTGTGACAGATGCATTCGCAGAAGATGTACGACCACCCTGATCCCGAGCGCACACAAAGAAGGTCACTTGTGAATCTTCCAATTGATTGAGAGCAGAGATCAAATAGACAATTCCTAAATATATAAAAAAGACACACATAGTTACATATCATCCATAGAGCCCAACATTTGACACAACAAAAAGAAATCCCTGTATCACATTTTACAGATGATTATTTCATTCTGCATTTAGTCTAAGTGGCCAAAGTGCATACCACAACATTTTAGTACATGGCCTATCATCACACCAGCCTATGCTTCCTATACTGCTATGGTTATTGTCCTGCCTGTACATAGTTGGAACCTGTCTTGTGATCATTAAAGCTTATATATACAGTATATTGTACACTTTATTTCCCTTTCCACTAGAATATATAAGAGAGAATGCATTCTGATTCTAGCCAAACCTTACCCATTATGGTAAAAACACAGAAGGATACAGCTTGGGTTTCCAAGACCTTAATAAGCACACTCAGTTCTATGGTGGCCATACACAACCAAATTTTTGATAAATTTACTGTCCAATCAGAAATAAGATTGGAAGATTGAAAATATTGCTTGATGCACTATACAGTACACTCAATGAGCATATGGCTCTCTCTGCTTTTCTACAATCTGATTTTTTGATCAGGATAATTGTGATTGAATTGATCAATTTTGATTAAAATGTATATATCTGATCATATTATCTGATTCTGTGAGAATGATATGATCAGATTGTTACATGTACAGAATGGCCATCATTAAATCTTGTGTGTTTATATAGTCTTAGGACCTGTTGGTAAACTGTATATGTTTGCAACTAATAGAAATCCGCACACCATACATCAACCTTTTTAACATAGAGGAACCCTTGAAGTCATTGAAGTCACCCCCTGCTAATAATTAATATATTTACAGCTCACAGTACATTAGTGTGATGGTCAGTGGAAAGAATGCTCCTTATATTTGTGGACATTGGGAAGAATTTCTGCATTAAAGATAGCTAAAAAGATCATTGGTGTCAGTGGTTACTCATCTATGAAGCAGAAATCGTTTATTACCTGAGGGACCCCTAGCAACCTCTGGATGAATCCTAGGATTCCACAGAACCCTGGTTGAGAAACACTACTATAAATAATTCATTCTGCATCCCGAATTACACAAATATGTTGTTATTTTTTATTTCATATCTAGCTTCTCTATATAGAACTATTATATTAGCACCTAACACATATAACAAATTGTGTCCACCATCTTTTTGATCTTTTTTGATCAGATCATTGACATGGAACATGCACATAGCCAGTGAAGTCAGAAAGCTTTATTTTTATACTTGTTCGGGGTCAGTAGTTTAAGAAGTATTAAAGGTATTATATCAGCATGACAACCAGGTAATTAGCATTTTCAAAAAATTTAATCAGCACAGATCTCTTTTAAACATATTTTAGATTTAGAGCAATAAAATTATATTATGTTAAATTATTACAGCATATTCCACAGAACATCTTTTAGGAAATGTCTGGGTTCTAAAAATGGCACAAAATGAATTTTAAGTGTCAGGACAAGAATGCAAATGAAATATGCCACTACGATAATTGTCCAATTAACCTTTTAGCTGTCTGTAGCTATCTCTCCTTTGGGCCAAGTTCTAATATGTCAAGTCTTGTATATTGAGCTATAAAAATATGTTTCCAAAAGCAAGTGTAAATTCCCATTATTAGGATTTATAAGTTATTTTTTCACTGGGTCAAGTACAATACAATTCTTACAAGATGCACTTGCATAATTTTTTTTTTTTTTTAAAGACCTTTGTGTGTATTCACGCAGCATTGGGATACCAAATATAATTATAGGTTTGTTGCCTGGGTCACTAAGAAGTCAAATTTTAGTCAGACAGGAGGCAGATGGCCAAACGTTGTTAGCAGTTTGTTACCTAAACTAACCTTAAAATCTAGCAGACAAATTATTTAAATGTGTTTAAGATGGAGTTTAACTGAGCAGGATTAGACATTTACATTGCCCACAGACCACTGAATCCGAAGCACTGATCAGTCTGAACATGCACATAAAAACAAAGAAAGCTGACCATATGGGAGAAATATTGCAAAAAAATTATACATGATAGATAATAAACTGAATATACATGCCAATGGGATACTGGAATTTCTTTTTATTCTTTATCTGCATTAGTAATAAATATGTTAAAAAAAATTATTCCCATTTATAACAATTTAGAACACATGCACACGGGTAGTAAAGAGGAGGCTAAAATCAATCAATCAATCAATCAGTAAAATAAATGAATAAAAATAAAACCATCCTTGTGTTGATTGCAATTAGTCATTGTTTAACCCATGCTTTACAAAATGGACAGTCACTGAGCTTAATAAATGCAAAATCACATGTCAGCAAAATCCTAATCCTTTATTGTTCGTTAAGGGACACTGAATTCACTTAATCTCAGATAATTGTGTTAAACTTCCACCTACAGTAGGATTGGATGCTGTCAAAGAAAAAAGATGATGGTCAGTCAGATACAACCTCACCAAACCCCACCCCCCTTCCCCCACCACTCCCAGCATACATCAGTTTTTTCCTAGTCTCCTAGGAGGATGTCCATCTTTCCTCCATTGAGAAAAGTTTTCCCCTTTTTACTAGTCATTTAGTTTTCTTTATTTTATTTTTTATCACAATTTGTTTTCTTAAAGCATTA